AAGAACTATTTTAGGATAGGTGTTGTTAGGTATTTACTTTATTCAGCCACCTTCCCCTGCTCCCAAATAAGACCTAATTTAAGTTCAGGCGGCTTTGACAACACTGATCCTTGGCGGATCATCCAGGAAACACTACAGGTATTTACAAAACAGAACTACATGCAGTACTTTATCCAAAATACCTGGGGCCAGAAGTGTTTTGGATTTTTTTCCTTCAGATTTTGGAATGTCTGCATTATCCCTAATCCAAACAGCAAAAATTCAAAACGCTCCAATGAGTATTTCCCTTGACCACCATGGTGCTCAAAAAGTTTCAGATATAAAGCATTTTGGATTTGGATTTTGGTGGAGAATTTTGTTTGTAATCCAACTCTGATGATAATAAGCCAGCAGGACATGCTTCCCCTACATGTCACATAATCAAACTAAGCATTTAAAGACTTCTCTGTCTTCTGTAGTGAGGCGAGATTGTGAAATGCAAACAACTCATCAAGGGATATTATAAAATAAGCTAAAGTGGGCTAGGACACCCCCCTGTTTTATCTCAGTAGAAAAATCTGATTGGGCCAAGAAAAGACCCTGACCTTTGAAGAGTGAGTTTTATATAAGCACCAACATCCCAGGGTCTCTGGTCAGTTTGTGCAGCTTAGAGCTTGATCAGCTTCTGTCAATAGAATCAAAGGCCAAAGGAAAGTCAAAATAAGCCATGAATAATCTAAAAAAAAATCCCCAATAATCTAATACCATTTCTAGCAAATTCTTACAGTGTATGTGAAAAGAGCAGGATAATAAATGATATTGACAATAGTATCTTAAAGTTGCAAAATAAGCATACAAAATAAAAAGAAGGCAATATATAACAATGATAGCAGTAGTTACTTGCATGAAGGAGTTAGGCAGATATTTAAATATATACCCATTTTACAAATTTTCTAGAATGAGGATACGATGGACGAAACAAACCATTGTTAGAAATTGGAAAACATTACTTTTTTCTTTGGAATCTTTCTTAACTTCCTTGTGCCTGGTATTAATCCCTCCAAAATTTTTATACTTTTTGTTATTATTGTTACACATACCATTCTCTATCACGAATACTTATTTAAATTCCTTTCCCTCCCACGAGACCATTTCCTTTCGAGCATGCATCATTCCATTTGTCTTCTCATCTCTGGCACTTTCCACTATTCCTGGCACACAGTTGCTGCAAAATGTTTGTTGTTCCAAATGAAGCAGTTAGGTATTAAAAGTTTATCAAGAGGGTCTGCTTATTACTAGACAATGTTTACATTTTTCCTCAGCTGTGGAGGAGAGTGCAAAAATCAAAGAAAAAAACAGTAGTAGAAACTAGTGTCTTCCCTAATTTGTGCTACAGGGATAAATTAGAGATAGGAGAGAATTAAATAGGTATGTAAAGGAAGGATGAATCTATTGCTTTGCTTTAAAACAATGGCAAACAAGGACTTTTGGCCTGCCTAAGGAATTCATCTTCCTTCTGAAACACTGTGTGTTTGAAATTGAGAAGCCAAACAGGCTAAAATGAAAAATCCTTGAAGAATGGTAGGGACACCATGCGATTAAAGCCATGGAAGAATCAGAGAGGTTAACTTAATCTCTGTGCAAGAGAAGATTGTAAAACTTCAATAAACCATCTTTTGTGGCTAAAAACAATAATCACAAATACTAACCTGGGATACAAAAAACACCCTTAAAATATAGCATAATGCATATTTTGGCATACGTATGATGTAGGAAAACCAAAATGTCTTGAGTAATGTTTCGGTGGCATTAGGATCAACTACAAACCACAGAAGTTAGACCTGTCTGAGGCTGAGCTGCTTTATGGGCTGAAGAGGGTCTGTCCCTCATGGTAGATATACACGTCCAGGCTCACTCCGGCAGGGGGAGGGGGTCACATTTATGTGCTAGAGAGGGACATGATTAAGAAAGAATGAAGAGGAAGAAATGATAGGTGTGTATTTGCATGACTGAACTTTACTAATCACTGTGACAAATAAAGAGAGGAAGCCACTTACTAATTCATCATAATTTGTTCATGAGTCTCAGAGAGGGACAAGCAATAACGTGATTTTGAAAAAGTTTTGGTACAAGCACATAATTTGGAAAGACATCCTAAATAAAAACAATAGTGAAGAGATGCACCAAGAATGTCAGTAGTTATGAGGCCACAGGAAAAAGGGTGTGAGTGAAGGGAGATGATAAACTGGAATATTTTGAAACAGTTCTTAAGCCAAGGAGAGGCAAAGAAGTCTGTGGATGAATCAGCATGGAAATAATGTGAAAGCAAGTCTATCAAGTTCATAGGCACAGGCTTAATAATACCCCAGAATAAATTATGTAGCAAAAAGCAAACGTCATTGCATTTGTTTGATAATATCCATTAGTGCAAACTGTCTGGCAGAAAACAGCAACAGGTATAAAAATATCTTGATTTTAAAATCTACATGGAAAAAATGTATGAGCTATTCAGAATATATATGTGTGACTAGTATAAGATCAAACAGTAATTAACTATAGTTGTATTTGAAAATGCTCAAATATACATTGTTATTTAACTCAGGGTTCATAGTATGGAAATAATAGTAGATAGTAAGGAACTGAAACAAAATCAAGGAATGAGCTAAGAATCAAATAATCATTTAAACAAGGAGGAGCCTGAAGCCAAACTAAACAAGCCAAGAGCAAAGGCTAATGTATATTAAAATTCCTAAGATTTTAGTTTCTGAAACGTTATTTTTTTGGTTAGTATTTCCAAAAAATTATAATATGAAAGGAGATCTGGAATAATACATCATGACAATTAAACACTGTTAAAATATGTCATAAATAAAAATTGAACTCAGCCAAAAATAAAGACAAGGAAAATAAAGACAAGGAAAATTTCCCAAATAAAATAAAGACAAGGAAAATTTCCCAAATAAAGACAAGGAAAATTAAATTGTGGTATATCTATGGCTTATGTATTACGTAGTCTCTAGCAATTATATATATATGTAGTAACATGAACGTTATTCATTACAGCTTTAAACTATTTTATACTGTATGAATTGTAGAGCTAAAGTAATGCTATGCATATAATTTTTAAAACAGATTTTCTTAATTTACAGTTGTAAATGTCTTTGGATTTTTCAGAAAAAGGTAGATATTTAACTTAAACTGGCTCTCAATTTTTTTATTAGTAGTACTCTCATAAGGTTTTAAATAATCTTCAAGAAAAAAAATTAAAGGAAAGCAATTTATTTGCTTATAACTAAGAGGCTTTAGAAAACCTTTAATAAAATACTGCAGAGATAAAAGATGTTACTCCAAGAGGCATTCTGTAGCTCACATACTACATTTGTCTGCCTGTGTTTCTGGAAATCAGTGAGTCAACACTAAGTATATGTAATATTTACTAGAAAGAATTAATATAGCATATCCTCATATGAAAGAAACTACCAAATCTTCAGGTGTCTCTATTTGTGATTTTGTCCACAAACTAAGGGAAAGTGAATCACAAATGAAGGCTTTAGCTGGGGCCACCAGGATGTACTTCCTTAATGCCTGTTTTCCTGATGATCAATTTGCCCATGGACATTTCAACCAAGGTCTGTTTCTTTGGGAGTTGATACATCAATTTTAGTATCCTGCCACTTATTTTTTGTCACCTCTTTGTCATTTGGGGATTATTAAGCCATTCCTCTAAAGTAATTTTTGTTTCTTTTGTAGTTCTAGTAAACAGTTCTAAAGTTTGCACTGTTTTATGAATATGCGACTTGTCCTACATCTTTGTGGTATATGTTTTCCTACTTTACTTTTAAAGTCTCTAAGAATATTTTTTTGAGATGAGGTCTCACTGTCACCCAGTGCAGTGGCACGATCACTGGAGTGTGTGGTGGTGCGATCATTGCTCAATATAACCTTGAACTCCTGGGCTCACGGGATCCTCCCACCTCACCCTCCTGAGTAGTCAGGATTACAGGCTAGTGCCGCCATGTCCTGAGCACCAACACGTTCAGCTAATTTTTAAATTTTTTTTTGTAGAGACAGTCTTTCTATATTGCCCAGGCTGTTCTTGAAATCTTGGCCTTAGGCGATCCTCCTGTCTTGGTCTCCCAAAGCACTGGGATTACAGGTGTGAGCCACCGTGCCTGGCTGAAAGTATCTAAGAATGTTGAAAGTCAGTCTTTCTAAATGAAGAATCTCCCAACAAGAAATAATTTATTTTTATTTTTGAGACATTTGCACAGATGAAAAAACACTAAAAAAATTGTCAATGACAAAGGATGGATTTCGCATGACTAAAAGATTTGATTTCATTAAAGTATTTAAATTTATTTAATTAAAGAATTCAGATACCTTCACAGTAAATTTCAATTAGGGAGAGGGAATAGGGTCATATGAGAATCACCTGGGGAATTTTCCCAACTATACCTGCCTGGCGTCCTCCCCTAGATGCAAGAATTTTATGAGAAAAATTTTGAGTGTCACATTCTCTTTCTATTAGTTAAAAAAAAAAAAAAAAAGAAAGAAAGAACATGGGATCTGCCCTTGGCTTCCTACGTACTCCTGACCATATTCTAATTACCACATTGCTCATGATCATTCACAAAATATTTTTCAGAGTTTACTATTTTAATTAAAATGGTACTGGTACAAGCCAGAATTGGTGCTGAACATCATAGATGTGTTGTTCAAGAAAACTTGTACTTTGTGGCCACACCATCAAATTTTGTATCATGAAGCTCTAGTGCATAGCAGTATACTTCTTTTGATGCAAAGGGGATAGGGGGTCAGAAAAATATTCAATGACACAGTGTTTTCAAGGACAAAGGTTATGCAACAAAAAAAAATGTTTGGGTCGTCTGCAATGGAAACATGGAAATGTTGGGGCAGACCAACCTGACAGCACTATGCCCAGCAGGTCTGGGCCAGGGAGGCCACTGGGGGTGCGCTCCACACATACAGCCCAATCAAAAGCAGGCAGCCTTGTGACTCACCGGCAGGGCAGGATCCGGACAACGTCATTGGGCTTGTACCCTTCAATACAAACTGCACAGTTGTCAAAATCAGACTCTGTTTCCTGCAACAAAGGAACCACAGATGAGCCTATTTTCTTAGCTTCATCTCTTGTATAAAATATCCAAGCCAGAATCCAAGGAGAGCTTGCCTGAAACAAAGATTTAAGCAGTGCTGGTGCCAGTTTTTAAATCAAATTTACCATCAGTTGGCCTAGTTTCCATTCCTTCCAAACTCTACTTTTTGTTTCTAGGTTCCACTGCAAGTCCTTTTGTGAGGAAAACCATTTTCTAAAGTACCATTACTAACAATGCTATTAATTATAAGTAGAGGTGACATATCAAAAATTTCAGGATGAGAAATAGTATTTATGGTGAACTATGTGAATGACATTTAATCTATTCATTCTTCTGGAATCTAGTGTGTAAAATAAATATTAAAACAAAATGGTAATTCCATTTTTTTCAAGTATATAAACCTCTTTTAATGCCTCATAACATAGTGCTTATGTAATAATCCTTGTACTTTTAATATTCTCTGATTAAGTGGAAATAACATGATGACTAAAATGTACTTTCAATGTAGTATTGCTTTTAAATGAATTTTATCTTATAAGCCCAATGGCATTTTTATATACTTGAAAAATAATCATATAATTTGTGAGATAAATCAATTATTCAGACTAGAGATAGTACCGGCTTATACGTGGAGTTGTAAATTCCTTACATTGCTCCAAGGAGCCCCAAACCCATGTGTAATCCATTGCTCTAACTTGGCCCGGGTTGAATAAGGGAGACTCTTAGAAGCCTGTAAACCTGGCCAGGACTCCTTTGTTTTCCCTCCTAAAGATACACTATTGCTTTTGGCTTTACGGCATCATTCTACAGTGAAGGAGGCTATTGAAATGACTTGGGGCTCTGTGTTTTGGTTAAAAATTTTTTTTTTTTAAATAGAGACAGGGTCTTGCTACATTGCCTAGGCAGGTCTCGAACTCCTGGCCTCAAGTGATCTACCTACCTTGGCCTCCCAAAGTGCTAGAATTGAATGAGCCACCCCACCTGTCAACCTCGAGGGTCTGAATACTGGAATTCAGAGGGATTGAATATACTTCCTGCATTTATACTGTAGACTTAAGTGAAGAACACAGCTCAGCAAATAAAGCTGTCTTCCTTGCAAAGATTCATGAAAAAGCTTTCTCGGGGTTATAATATCAGGAACAATCATTTTGATTTTATCTTGTGGGATACTGGAATAAGGTCATTAAATATAACTGAATATTGTTTCCTTTGCACTGGCTGCTAGAAAGCCCCAACCTAAATTTGAGACCCATTTCCATTACACATTTTAGGTAATCCGTTTGTGTACTAATTTCATTCTGGCTTCATCTATTTTTTATACACTTACTTAGCAGTTTCTCATATTTTCTATATAACTATTTTATTATCATATCATATGCATTTTATAGGAAACTTTAAATTATGTTTAATTAAGAAGAGTATAATAACAGATACTGATAGGACAACTGTTAGTGTGTATTTCTTTTCCTATCCTTTCCTCTCTTTCATCCTGGGTGTAAGAAAAGTAAGAAGCTTCTTTGAATAGCTCCTCACCAAAAAGAAAAGAGGCTTGTTACCTTGTCACCCTTCTTGATGGTCCTGACCTGGAGTTTGCTGATGGCTTTCTTTGCTGCATCTCCCAGTCGGCGCTGAAAAACCAAAATGTGCTTGTTAGTGATAAAGATCTATAATTCTTGATGTCATTTCTGATGGCATTTAATACACCAGGGCAGCTAGCTCTAAAATCATGCACATGTGGCATGAATGCTAACAATGATGACTAGAAAAGATGGGGCAGTGGAAATTGAGGTCTATAAAAGAGTTTTGCCACAGTGAGAAGTTCTTCATGCCCAGTGTTAAGCAAGTGGCATGTGACATCGATCCTGCCCTGCAGTTCTACAGCGCAGGTTACGTGTGCATACACTAGCAAAAAAAAAAAAAAAAAGGAGTTTAGTAATTTGCCACTCTAGCCACTCAATTTGTGATACAGAGATAGCCAATCTGGAGTAGCTGGAATAAACTTCATCTCCTTTTTTTTTATGATCCAGATTCACTGCTTGCATATTCCTTTCAATTTGCTCATGTAGGCATAGCATTGCTTTAAATTTGGTCTGTTCTATCCATCACATTCTTAGATAACAATTTTACCTCCTTTATGCATGTTTAAGTGTGAGTGTGCATACGGAAAAATACATAAAACATAATGTTCAGTTTAGCAAAGAATTATAAGGCAAACACCAGAGTAACCACCATGATCCATGTCAAGGAATAACACATCATTCCCGATTTTTTGGTAGAGAAAATTACCATCCTAATGAGCCCTGCAATAATAAAATCAGAAGGTGATAAGGAAGACTGGAAGAATGATAGGGGGGTGAGTAAATTAAATTTTAATCTGTCAAGGAAAAAAATTGTTTGTGTGCATGTGAGTTTTCTACATGTTTTATCTCCTTCTTAGGTATATCTATTTCTGGTCTGCAATAGATGTGTATCTGCAGTAGTAAAGCATTAGAAGGACTAAGATTAACAGGGTTAACATTTAAAGACAGTCTAATCTTTTGCTCTCATTAATTTTGTTCCTTTTGGAAAAAGCACTCGAGCTTCTTGCTTTTCTTTAAAATAGTGAGCACATATTAGTGAATAGTTAATGTATCCTAAGTGCCATGCTAAAGCTATATATGCAATATCATCTTTGATATTATGATAACTATGAGAAAAGCACTGGACAATTTACTCAAGCTCTGTGAGCTTCAGTTTATAGAATAAATTGTCCGGTGTCATAGAGTTAGTGAAAGATAAGTCAGAATTTGAATAAAATTAAGTTTGGCTTTAAAATCAAAGCTCATCTACCACCCTTACTTTCACTTGCCAAACCACCCGATCAACCCAGTCAGTCAGTCAGCCAACCATCTAACATCTGGCTGGCCAGTCAGCCAGCCAACCAACATCTGGCTAGCCACTAACTAGTCAACCAGCCACTAAGCTAATCAGAATCACTGATTCTGATTTACCATGGGGCACTTCTCTAAGCACATTAGCAGTTAAAGTAATTAGCAGAAAAGGAGATGTTCTCCTTGTCAACTCATTTTTCTCTTTGACAGTTAGTCCTTCATTTCTAAAATAATACTGACATTTTGTATCAGAAGGGTAAGTTTTGGCGGCTTCCTAAAAGGAGACTTATGCCTTTGAGATTTATGCAGAAGTCCATGAGTAGCTAGCAAACTAAGGCAGCAGGCAAAAAGAGGAAGAGTCTTTAGTGATAAATACCAAGGAAAAACACGAGAGTGAGAGAAAAAGAACTGACCTGAGATGAACTAAACATGAGGGAACTCTCCTCTTCTCTTCTTCTGGTTATTATCTATTAATGATTTCAACTCAAATAATTTCTTCAGGGACCCTTTCCCAGATGTCTCCCAAAAAGATCCCTCTCATCTAGACCCTAAGAGCACTTGGTATCACTGTACTGTCACATTTGAAATTTGTTATTTGTTTTTATGATCAATCCCTGTTAGACTGCCCTCAGGTAAGCTTCCTGAGTGAAGGCCTGTGCTTAGTTTTCCTTCACATTGCCCCCTAGATCCCCAGCATATATTAATAGAATAAAGCTGCCTTCAATAATTGGCAGTCAATCATTCAACGGGTATTTTTGATCTCTTATTCTGTGTCAAGTATAGCTTTGGGTTAAAAAAAATGGTAACATAAACAAACACGTGTGTACACACACACACACACACACACACACACACACAATCCTATTAGCTGTAGTTTAATTTATAATCTAGTAAAAACTCAAATGAGTTAACAAAATCTTAAGCCAATAGTTTTTTTTTTTTTTTAAATCATGGAAACCAACTTGAGAAATCTAGTGATAAATAAATACTTAGGGATGAAGTACAAGTGATATCTGTTGTAAGGTAAGCAAACTTGGGGTCCAAGCTTGGGAAACACAGCCAGTATCAACTAACAGCTGCTCTCCACTGAAGAACCCTGAGGCAAGGATTGAAAGGTATTGCAAAAGGGCTACTAGTTTTTGGCCATAAATGCCACAGACCTGTAGAATACTGTACTTAGAATAAGAATCTGAACCCCAAATAAACAAATACTGTTTTCTTTTTAAGTCAAGAACTCAGATATTTTTGCAATTGCATTTAACTGGCATTATATAATATTGCACCTAATTCAATCATTTAAAAATATTTTCTGCAGACTAAGCAGAGTAATTAAGTGGAAAAACGTATTTTCATATAATAGTCATAGAGTATACTCAAAGGGAGCTAACATTTTCAAAAGGCAGGTGAACTAGAAATAATATTTTCAAAATTCGACATTTAAAATAATTTTTTGCAAATGAAATATGCCCTTCTTAAATGTGAGCATGTAGGGGAAGTTCAAAGACTGCATTAAACTTTGGCTGTGTATTTAACTGAACTGTTGGCTGTATCTGAATAAAAATAGATGGCTTTTGAAAATATCCCCTCAGTCTTTTCCAGAGGGAAAAAAAAAAAATCCTTTCTATGCCCTTTAAAAAAATGCGGGCTGCCTTTATTTTTTAAAAATGGCATGTCCGTTGAGGAAATGTAAAGCAAGCTGACATTAAGGTAACAGGGATTTTGGCTAACAGTAAAGTTAATGGCTAGGGAATTAGGAAGACAAATTTCATTACTAGCATTTGTATGACTGGTCCCTAGAGAGGTTAAAAAAGTTCAGCAGAGGATTAAGTCATTTAGGAGATGGGCTTCCCAAACAATTAGCAGAATTAATAGGTTGAGGGAAAGAGAGTAAAAGAGAAAGTACAGTTATGCATAGCTTAATGACAGGGATACATTATGAGAAATCCATTGTTAGGCGACTTCATCACTGTAAAATCATGGACGATACTCACACAATCCTAGATGGTGCTGCCTGCTAGACACATAGGCTGTATGGTACAGCCTATTGCTCCTAGGCTACAAACCTGTACAGCATGTACTGAATATTGCAGGTAGCTGTAACACAATGGTAAGAATCTGTGTATCTAAATACAGAAAAGAGACAGTAAAAATAGGATATTATAATCGTATTGGACTACTGCCATATGTGTGGTCCATCCTTGACCAAAACGTAGTTATGCAGTGCATGACTGTAATAAAGTCCTCTTCAAGATCGAGTCTGTGAGGTCTTCCACCTAGAAACCCTGAGAAATCAAATGATTCACAAAGGTAGGAAGACATATTTTCCTCATTCAAAAAAAATGGTATAATGGTATTCTCTCCCGTTCCCTCTCCTGTGAAGTTCCTTGAGTCCAGCCTCATTCTGTATGTTATTAATAAGTGATATACATATTTTCTCCTCTTTTGAGGAGGAAAACATAGCATTTTGGCAGTGGCCAATGAAGGATATAAAAGTCTTCCCTGGGAAGGGCAGAACAGATGGTCCAGATACCTGCTTCTGAGATGTGTACGATGATATGGGACCATGTAATAAAATATTTTTTCTGTAAGAGTTCTGGGATTAACAAAATTAGGGAAAATGTACCACAGAGTTTTGAAAAAATGCAATGTCCATATGCTTGTATACAAGTATTATCTGTATATGCATGCTTATTTCTTTGTGACATGAAAATTACACACATGCAGAGAATACCCCATCAAAAAATTATACAAAGAAAAAAACTACCACTTTCAACAAAAGTTTTCAATATTGAAATCTCATTTTCAATAATTTTCAAACTACTTTTATTGGATTTCCAAAATGCAAATTAAAGAGGTAAGTAAAAACATAAACATTCTTAATAAAATGGCCCAAATAAACCCACTGTTGCTTTTGTAATTAATCTCTTCTGTCTTTGGGTTTTTGATTGCACCCAGTATGAAGAGGGAAGGAAAACCACAGGTCCCGCTCAAACTGAGTCTTGTACCTAGTCTGAATAGAGAATGTAGGAACTAGAACTGGAAGTCTATCATAAAACAGACTCTTCCCTTTGCCATTCTCAGAAATGCAGAGTAAAGTGATGCTAATGGAAGACTTGGGTGGACTGAGGAACCACCTCACGTTTGAGTCAGCCTTTTGTTTCAGGTAGGGATTCCACTCTCGTTTCCAGGTGCTCCTATAAATTCTTTCTAATCCAATCAGACCCGAATCATGGTGGTTTTTTGAGACAGAATTGTGCTCTGTCACCCAGGCTGGAGTGCAATGGTGTGGATCGAACCTCTGTCTCTCAGGTTCAAGCACTTCTTGTGCCTCTGACTCCTGAGTAGCTGTGACTACAGGCATGCACCACTGCACCCAGCTAATTTTCATATTTTTTGCAGAGACGGGGTTTCACCATGTTGGTCTTGAACTCCTAACCTTAAGTGATCTGCCTGCCTTGGTCTTCCAAAGTGCTGGGATTATAGGCATGAGCCACCATGTCACGCCAAAATCATGCTTATTACTAAAGCTTGTTATGTATTAGGCCATCGTAATAATTGGGTTTATCCATCTATTTGATATAATCAGGTACAAATATATTTACCAAGGTTATTGGTTTCTTGAATATAATGAAGATAAACTGTGTAATGGAAAACAAATACAGAGTCATGTATTAAAAGAATAAAGTCCTACATAAATTCCAACAAGAATGGTAAACAATAGACTCCAGCCTGAGACACATAAATTAGTGATCTAAATA